GGACAGGAATTGATTGAATGCCAAGGTTAGCATTCTTACATAACCAGGAGTTCCTTTTGGAGAAATCTTAACAAAGGTTGTGATTCATTCCAAACGGCTTCATTTTCACCTCTAGTCCTTACTCTTTTGTTCCTGAAACCAAGCCAAGAAGATCTGGAGAAACCACAGTTAAAACACAGAACTTACAGAAAGGAGGGTTTTTTCCCCCCCAAAAAAACACAACCATATTTTTCTCTCATTCATAAATACAGGCAAACTTCCCGAGTTTCACAATGCTTTTACAATCCCTGTTAAGCAATCTCATTGTTTCCCCCCTGAACTAGAGACACTTCCCCTGAGAGGATTCTCAATGTTGGATAGCCTATTACAGTTTCTGACAATGGCCATTTATTTCAGTTCTTATGAAGGCAGTGAGCCTCAGGAGTGAAATTAAAAATATTCATTTTCGTTCAAAAAAAAATGAAAGGCTCTTTTATCGTATTTCCCATACCGTACTGTTCTGGAAAGTGGTGAAATGGACAATTGTCTATAGATTGACCAACGCATGAGCTCAGTACCTGAATAATGGATAATAATGATTGTAATAATAAAGAATAATGATTGTAAGCTGCCTAGAGTCATCTCCAGGCAAGATACATACACAGAGAGACAGAAACAGAGACAGAGACAGAGACAGAGACAGAGACAGAGACAGAGACAGACAGAGAGAGACAGAGAGAGAGAGAGAGAGAGAGAGAGAGAGAGAGAGAGAGAGAGAAAGAAAGAAAGAAAGAAAGAAAGAAAGAAAGAAAGAAAGGAGAGAGAGAGAAAGAGAGAGAGAGAGAAAGAAAGACAAATTTACAAATTTCAATTATTTTAACTGTAACAGAATAACAGAGCTGAAAGAGACCTTGAAGATCTTCTAGACCAACCCCTGTTCAGGCAGAAACCCTATACCACTTCAGACAAATGGTTGTCCAGTCTCTTCTTAAAAACTTCCAGTGTTGGAGATTTACAACATCTGGAGGGAATCCATTCCACTGATTAATTGCTCTCAATGTCAGGAAATTGATCCTTAGTTCCAGGTTGCTTCTATCCTAAATTAGTTTCCATCCATTGCTTCTTCTCCTGCCCTTCAGGTACTTTGGAGAATAGCTTGACCTCCTCGTCTTCTATGTGGCAGCCCTTCAAATATTGGAACCCTGCTACCATATCAGCCTTCTTTTCATTAAATTAGAATTACCTAAATTCCAGCAACCATTCTTCATATGTTTTATCCTCCAGCCTTCTAATAATCTTAATTACCCTTTGTATGCTTTCCAGAGTCTCAGTGTCTTTTTTTTTATATTGTGGTGACCAGAACTGGATGCAATATTCCAAGTGTGATCTTATTATAAAGTGGTATTAACTCTTCACGTGATTTGCTTCCTAGCTGCTCAGAAAATGGTTCTTTTCACCCTCAGACAACAATTGATACAGCAACTTCATTAATATTTCCAAAAGAGTAGTTAAAGATCTATTTTAACAGCAGTTTGATCAAGGCAGAATAAATAAGATGCTTGCCTTCAGAAGAAAGCCTTTGGCCTTGTAGATAAACCCTTCTTGACCTCAGTATTTGATATATGCAAGCCTCTTTCCATACTCCATATGAGGTAGTGGTGGGATTCAATTGGTCTCATGCCTCTGTTGGAATCTGATTCAGAGGGGGAGGCCGAGCAGCTGACAGGGAGTGGGAGTGTGGCTCTGGTGGCTGTGGAGGAAACTGGGGAAGGGCAAAGTCCAGCTGGGCAGAGCAGGGAAGAGGTAGAACAAGGGAGAGGGAATTCAGAGGAAGACCCAGGCCCACCCACCCCTTCATCCTAGAGCACACAGGGAGGAACGGAGAAGGGAGCAACATGTATAAGCCATGGCTTATGGGGGAGGAAAGGGCCCTGATTCCCTTCATTAGCTGCAGCTGGGAAAAAAGGATTTAAAAAGGGAAGCTGAGCACAGCAAGCTGTTGGAAGCAAATCGTGAATTTATCTGGTATCATTGTGGCTTATCTGTGTTCCTGGCATCTTCCCAATTGTGTAAGTTTTGCCATGCTTTCAAGTCTGAAATTCTTGCTCTTGCCCTGCCAAACTAATTACTTCAGTTTGGCTTGTTTGAACTTTAAGTTATAGTTTGTGTTACTCATGTTTCGGACTTAATTTTCTACAGTCAAAGGCTGTTTCGGGGAGAGTTTTTCTCCAACCAGAAGCAACCTGGACAAAGGGGCAAAGTTGGAGATAATAAAGGGATTCTTATTGCCTATCCAACTGTGTTGCCTTTGTGCCATGCCCAGGGTAATCACAACCAGTGTTACAACTGGTTCGGCCGAACTGGTCTATACTGTCTGAATCCCACCCCTGAGAAGACTGTAATTGAAATGTGCACAATCCATATTCTTAAGGGGGATACACAAGGAGAAAGGATCCTGTCTTATTGCAAACTTTAGAGAAATTTGGCAGCTGGCAGGACATCTAGCTCAGTTAATTCTCCAACGGACAAGACATTGTCATCTTTAACAATGCCTAAAGACCTTGGGAAGAAGAAGAGGGGATTCATTAGTGAGAACTTAATTCAATTTCAAGCATCCTACCCCCCTCCTGGAGTGATAAACTCTTGAAGACCCTCCTAAATCCGGATTATAAACCCAGCACTAGAGAGACAAGAGAAAATTTTCCCTTCCCACACGTGAGATCTTACCAACTTCAAAGGAATCATCCAATCCCACTGAAGCAACTGTGACATGACTCTCCAATCACACCAGCTCTCATCCATTTCATGGAACACAGTGGGGTGTTTTCCTGCTTTTAGAGGTCATCTGATTTTTAATTATCCATCAAGAATTATCTTTTCCTGCAAGAAACTTGGGTAATAATATCTAACTTAGAATCCGATGGTGATTCCATCAACCAGCGTTAGACATTTCAGAGCAAAGCACATTTAGCAGTGGATTAACAGCTTTAATTAACACAGCTAGAAGCAAATTGCATATTTGTTAGTAACCTCCTTTCTATACTACAAAGAGACGAACATGATTCTTTTCTGGAAGGAGACAATTATATAACTATAAAGTCTATCCAGTGGCCTCAATTCTGCTCGAAGAGGAATCTCCACCTTTTTAAAAAAGCCTTAAAGTCTTCTCTAGAGAGTCAAATCTTTGCATAATTGTGTCCAAAGTAGGATAATCTGAATTGTGGTGGGATTAAACCGGTGTAACAACTGGTTCGGTGAGAGCGCGCTTCACAACATTTGAAATCTGTCCATTTTCAGCTCTAAAACTTACCTTCTGCTGCAGCCCTGGTGCAAAAATCCAGCTGAGATGCGGCCCCCGCTGTGTTGCTTAAATCAGCGGTGCTACAAAACACGGGACTAAGGACAGACTAGGGCAGGTGGCTGAGTGGGTGGGGCCACCTAATCGCCAGAACTACCGGTTCACCTGAACCGGTCTGAACCGGCTGAATCCCACCCCTGAATCTGAACCAGGTTTTGTTTGTGCCTCTACAGAGAATCGTGGGTCGATTCTGGGGTGAGGGGAGGAGGTTCGTCCTCCAAGTTTGTGGGTTGGTTTCTGAACATTTCGTTATCAGGCTAGGTAACATCTTTGATGGAATTTAGGGAAGGTCAGTCTTGGTGTCCTTCTGTGGATAAGGGCTTTGTGTGATCAGTGTGATGGGGAGGTCACGTCAGGTGAGGTTCTTGGGATGGGTCAGGTGTGGGTCATTTCAGGTGAGGGTCTTGTGATGGGTTTAGTGAAGGGTCAGGTGTGGGTCACATTGAACGGTTACTGGAATTGGGTATATCTAGTTTAATGAAAAGAAGGGCTCAGGGTGACATGATAGGGTTGCCACAAAGAAGAGGGAGTCAAGCTATTCTCAGAGGTGGTGTTCAGCAGGTTCTGACTAGTTCTGGAGAACCAGTAGCGGAAGTTTTGAGTAGTTCAGAGAACCAGCCAATCCCACCTCTGACTGGCCCCGCCTCCCCCATCTCTTCTCTGCCTCCCATTGAGTCCCAGCTGATTGGCTGGATCTTCTTTGGTTGCCCTGCACAGGAGAACAAAGCTGGAAAGCAGGCTAGTGGGGTGGGGAGGGAATGGGATTTTGCAGTATCCTTCCCCTGCCATCCACCAAGCCATGCCCACCAAGCGATGCCACGCCCACAGAACCGGTAGTAAAAAATGTTCAATCCCACCACTGGCTATTCTCCAAAGCATCTGAAGTCAGGACAGGAAGCAATGGATGGAAACTAATCAAGGAGAGAAGCAACTTAGAGATAGGGAGGAATTTCCTGACACATTAATCAGTGGAAGAGCTTGCCTCTAGAAGTTGTGAATACTCCAACACTGGAAGTTTTTAAGAAGAGATTGGATAACCATTTGTCTGAACTGGTATAGGGTTACCTGCTTAAGCAGGGGGTTGGACTAGAAGACCTCCAAGGTCCCTTCCAACTCTGTTATTCTATTCTACAGCAGGTCAGGGTCTTGTGAGGGGTCAGGTGTGGGTCACATCAGGTGAGGGTCTTGTGATGGATCCTGTGATGCGGAGGTCACATCAGGTGAGGGTCATTGGAAGATGAAGTGCTGGTTGGGAGGTTGTGTAGATTGGTCCAAGATTGGAGAAGTCTTCACCTACAAGTTCAAAAGCATCAATGTTCTTCTTAGGATATGAAAATTGAAAGAGCTCTAATTGCACAGTTGTAGCACCCACCTTGGGTGGGTCTCTGCCCCCTGAAAACACCCCTTCCTTAACATATTTATGCACAATATTTTTCTTCTTTTCCTCTCTTAAACCTTTGAACATTCTTTCAAACAAACACAAACTTTAGCATGTTTCTTTAGGCTGTTGAAAAGAGAAGTTTTTTTCCCTTTTCATACAGGTGGGGGGGGGAACTATGCAGGTATAAAAACAGTTGTGTTGTCTCCAAGTAACTTGGATCTTGTGTTGCACACACTTGGTATAGAAAAAAGGCAAGCTGTTTGTTGTGCTATTCTCGTTGCCATGTCTGTGCAGAGAACTGGAGTAAGTACAACTGCCTTTTCGCGTTGTCTCAAATCTGTTAGAAAAAAACTTCTTTTTTCCAGGAGTAACTGAGTCAAGTATCCTGCTAAAAATTAGATCTATATGATCAGAAAACATGTTCCTTTTGGTAACGAAGAATCTTGGTTGTAAGCTTAATCTCTAGAAACAGAATACAGGACATAGAATGTCTTCAGAGTTGGAAGGGACCTTGGAGGTCTTCTAATCTAACCCCCTGCTCAGGCAGAAACCCTATACCATTCCAGACAAATGGTTGTTCAATCTCTTCTTAAAACTTCCAGTGTTGGAGCATTCACAACTTCTGGTGGCAAGTAGTTCCACTGGTTAATTGTTCTCACTGTTAGGAAATTTTCTCCTTAGTTCTAGGTTGCTTCTCTCCTTGATGAGTTTCCATCTGTTGCTTCTTGTCCTGCCATTCAGGTGCTTTGGAAAATAGCTTGATCCCCTCTTCTTTTGGGCAGCCCTTCAAATATTGGAAAACTGCTATCCTGTCACCCCTAGTCCTTCTTTTCGTTAGACTAGACATACCCAATTCTAGCAACATTTCTTTGTATGTTTAGCTGGGAGGGAGGGAGGGAGGGAGGGAGGAAGGAAGGAAGGAAGGAAGGAAGGAAGGAAGGAAGGAAGGCCCCAAGAAATAGCCTAGTAAGCATGTGTTAGTTGACCAAATCCTGGTGACATTAAAATTCATTGGAGATGAATTGAAATTGCATAGTGATGTGGCTGATTTTATTTACTGTGCCTACTTCCTTACAGTATACATTGTTTGTGACTTATATATTAAGGGCCTGGAGACTAAAACATATGAAGAATGATTGCAGGAATTGGGTATGGCTTGGCTAGAGAAAAGAAGGGACAAGGGGTGACAGGATAGCAGTGTTCCAATATTTGAGGGGCTGCCACAAAGAAGAGCGGGGGGGGGGGGTCAGCTTATTTTCCAAAGCATCAAAGGGCAGGGCAGGAATCAACAGATGGAAACCAACCAAGGAGAGAAGCATCCTGGAATTAAGGAAAAGCTTTCTAACCGTGAGGACAGAAGTTGTGGGTGCTTCCTCACTGGAGGTTTTTAAGAAGAGACTGGACAGCCACCTGTCTGAAAGAGTATAGGATTTTATTTTATTTTATTTATTTATTTTGATTTGTCAATCGCTTACAAGATAATAGGTATAAGTATAGACATAGTTATGAATACATGAAATGGGTACATATAAGAAAAATAAAAGAAACAATAGGACAGGGACATTTGATGTTTGAACAGAAGGTTGGACTAGAAAACCTCCTCCAGCTCAATTGTAATTGATTGATTGATTGATTGATTGATTGATTCCTATTTTAGCTTCCTCAAAGGCCCTATTTACTAGGTTTTTAAAATTTCCCCTTGCAGGATGACTTTTCCTAACTAATTGCATCTTCCTTTTCATTAAAACCAGCCTTCGGCTGTTGATCAGTTTTACAGTTCACTATCTCTTGAACCATCCAAAACTTTTGAATTAAATACTTTAAGTACACTGCGATAGAAAGACTTAATACCCAACTTTTGGTTGTCTTAGTATTCACCTTGAGTTTAATATTCTTAATGGCTTAATTAAAAATGGATATCCAGAGGCAATTAATTTCCAATGAATTATTTTTAAATTAAGATCCAAAGGATGATATTAACGTGATGAAAAAAAGCACAGGAATAACCTCCGTGATTTTTGTTTTAATCAACATTGTGTTTTTATCCCATTGTGTAGTTTTAATTGATGCAGAAGGCGATCTTTGTTGTTGTTTTTTGAGAGAAGAAACGTTACAAGCATAATTAGTCTAATACAATATGGATATATATCCTGGACTTGCATGGTTACTGTCTAACATTTTGAAGTGTACGAACTTTATAAAAGTTCTGAATATTTCTCGTTGGGAGAGGGAGCTGATGAAGAAATTACACCTGCTAGGTTTTACGGGGATGCCTGGGAGATTATGGCCTTAAGGACGCCCAATTTAGGGTAGTCCAACAGCTTGTGGACATTGACTTGCAATATCTACAAGCCAGAGCTAACAAAATTTGCTCCCCTCTGATCTTCAGCCAATTTAATAATTACGGACTGAGGATGGCTTCCTATTTTTACACTCTAACCATTCCCAAGTATAGAAGAGCTTTCTCCCTAGCTCGCTTTAATGTTCTGCCCTCAGCACTACTGGATGGGCGATTTAAGAGGCTCCCGAATAACGAGCAGCTATGCCCCTGTGACAGAGCTGAGGTTGAAACTGTGGAGCATGTCCTTTTATATTGCCCTATGTATAATGCAGGCAGATCTAAGTTACTGTTTCTCCTTGAAACAGACCCTTCTAGACCCAATGTTAGCAATTTGTCTAGAGGATGGCTCCTCATATATCACTTCTTTGGTTTCCAATTTTTTTTAAAGAGCTGTAACCATCAGAAGAGAACGCTGTAATACCCCTTAGTCAAGTTTTTGGTGACCAATTGTTCATGATTAATTTTCCCATGTTCTTCTTTTGTTGTACTTGTGTTTTGGTCTGTGACCGCAAATAAAGTATTGTTATAAAGTTCTGAATAGTTTGCGATTGATAATGTAGGAAGTCCCAGTAGAAGATAATGTGTCGTCAATATGGGAGAGAGTGAAGCTTACTACTTGTTTATATTTAGTAGTTTTTGAATGGTGTGTAAATGTGGTTTATCTCTATGTGTCTGTTGATGTCTGTGATCCTCAAAGAAGATAGCAAAAAAAAAAAAAAGACTAGAGACTTAGCAAAAGACTAGAACAGATCCTCTCCTGCAACCAACACTCAGATAAGCAGGGATTAACACCAGACAAATAATTAAGCAGAGAATAATAGTCTAATCAAGGTCTATGGAGTTTCTCAATCATCCAGGTCATGGTTGTCCCAAAGGTGCTTCTTCAAGAGGCAAATGGACTTTCTGTTTTTTCTTTGAAAATGTTTTGCTTCTTCTCCAAAAAGCTTCTTCAGCTCTGACCGGATGGTGGGGAATGGAAGAATCGATACTCCTTGCAGACAGCTGGTCATTTGCATCCTTTTAAAGAGTCGTTGAGGCCACTTGAAAATTTGTCTGTGTCCTCAGGGTCACCTGAGTGGTGCAAATGGGCATGGAGCCTTCTTGGAACTGCTGAAAGGACTGTGTCATGCCCCTGTCGGAGTCTGAATCTGAGGAGGAAGATGAACAGCTGACGGGGAATGGGAATGTGGCTCTGTTGGCTGTGTAGGAAACTGGGGAAGGACAAAGTCCAGCTGGATAGAGCAGGGGAGAGGTAGAACAAGGGAGAGGGAATTCAGAGGAAGACAATACTTTATTTGCGGTCACTCAGGCCCAACTCCTCTTCGTCCTCTTCATCCTAGGGCATGCAGGGAGGAACGGAGAAGGGAGCAATGTGGGTTGCATGGCTTAGGGGGGAGGAAAGGGCCCTGATTCCCTTCATTAGCCACACCTGGGAATGAAAGTTTAAAAGAGATGCAAGCTGAGTGCAGCAGCTGCTGGGAGCAAACATGAGTTTATCTTGTGTTGACTTTGCTTATCTGTGTTCCTGGCATCTTCCCAACCGTGTTGAATTACTACCGTATATCCAAAGATATAAGAGACTAGCTTCTTTGGAAAGGAAAAAAAAAACCACTATCTCCGAGCACTCAGACATTTTGAGCAAGGATTCAAAGAAATGTCTCCAAAATTCTGCATCCATTAACAACAAGCATGTTGAAGTTTCGGGGTGTGTGGAGTGGAAATTTTGTTTTATGGGATTTCTATCCTAGTTTTCTCATTTCAAAACTAAGGAACATTATCTGACTTTTAATGAAGTAATTTCATTTCGTTCTGAATACTGTGTGCATCAGAAAATATAGCTATGGATGCACAGGATGAATGGATGGATGGACGACTGGATGGACCGACAAACAGACAGAAAGAGATGATATGATATCATATGATATGATAGAGGGAGAGAGAAATAGAGAGATAGATATAGATATTGTAGATGATAGACAAATAGATAGATGGATAGATAGACAGACAGACAAGATTAGACAGAGAGATGATAAAGAGAGAGAGAAATAGATAGAGATAGAGAGACAGAGAGATAGATATAGATGATAGAGAGAGAGATGATAGAGAGAAATAGAGATGATAGATAGATAATGATAGAGAGATAAATAGATATAGATAGATAAATAGACAGACAGATATAGATAGATAGATGGATGGATGGATAGATAGATAGATAGATAGATAGATAGATAGATAGATAGATAGATAGATAGAGAGAAACAGATAGATAGATAGATAGATAGATAGATAGATAGATAGATAGATAGATAGATAGACAAGATTAGAGAGAGAGAGATTATGAGAGAGAGAAATAGATAGATAGATAGATAGATAGATAGATAGATAGATAGATAGATAGATAGATAGATAGATAGATAAAGATGATAGAGAAAGAGAGAGATGATAGAAATACAGAGAGAGATGATAGATAGATAGATGGATGGATGGATAGATGGATAGACACAGAGGAAGAGAGGGAGGTATATGTATATCTATGAGTATATATATTTTAATACTGATTATGTTTTATATACATACAACTCAAAATGCACACATAGTAATAAGGTGTGTTCTATAATTTTCCATAACATGTATTCCTACGTCCTTTCTCTTTCCATAGCTTATAAAAGATCATTTTACTATTCATTTTCTTTTACAACACTGTTGTAATAAAATCTTGATTTCATTTTTCCCTCCTTCAAAAGACTATTTAAAAAAGGAGGTTAATGATTCGGGAGAACACAGTGAGCCAAGCTCCTGTAGTAAAATAATGAAATTTATTAGTTAAGCCAGAAGCTAGCTTTTAATAGAAAAGAGTTAAACAGGGAGATTTGCATAATAAAACCAATGGAGCAAACTAGTATATAACTCATTTCAAAATTTGCATCGTGCCATATGCTTGCTATCAAGTTTGTTTGAGAGTATGGCTGTATTGTACTTAAATTCAGCCACAATTTTTTTAAAAAAAATCTCTTTTCTCCAAAGAAAAAAAAATTGGAACACCCAAAGGATTTCTCCTGTATTGCTTTCTGATTTGGTTCAGATTTCAGATTCCTTTCCTGGTGTTCCGACCCAAGCCTTGTTCAAATCAAACAAAATATAAAAACAAACCTTTTTAATGTGGCGCTGTGAATTCTGTGCATTCACAGCCAAGAGTCATTTAAAACTAATTGTCCCAGATAAGAGTCAGCCCTTTCAAGGTTGCAAAAGGCTGCCAAGAACAGAAGACTAATTGCAGATAAATATCCCAAGCCAGAAGTTTCCAAAAACAAACCGGAGTAAGCAGGGTTTCAACGAGGGCTCTGAGTAGAAAGAACTTCTTTGCTTCCTGCAAAGAAGCCAACCCCAAAGGCTGGCTTTTATCCCTTATGGAAGGGCCCATCACCCTCCAGCCTTACCCCTGAGTCACCTGCACTGCTTCAGCTTCTCTTTCCTTCGAACAGCCCTGTGCACATGCGCACTGGGCACAGGCTCCCCGAGGTACTCTGCGTCACTGCTGCCAGACTCCACAACCTCTGAAGGCAGCACTCCACTCTCCGATAGTTTTGGCCCCATCCCTGCATCACACGCAGGCCCCTCGTTTGAGTCCTCACTGTCAGAGACTTCAGCCATATGCACCTGCTGCCGGTGAACCACAACACCTGGGCAGGATACTTCAATATGAAAATAGCAATGGTTTTTTCCCCCTGTTTCTAAGAGTTTAAATACATTCGTGTTTCATTCATCACCAGTCTGTCAACTCATCAAACATTCCTAGGCCTGTTTTAGTAGTTGCCATAAAAGGAGGTGGGAAGGAAGGAAATCTGGAAGAGCAGGGCAGCAGTCTGAAATCGAAAGTACATTCCAATTCTTATCTTTAAAAGATTGTAAGTAAAATACCAGTTTTTGCCTGTGAATATATTTAACTGGAGAATGTGATTGATGACACCCAGCCCTTAAACGTGCTCAATTGGAGAATCTGATTTATGACACACCCAGGAGGGAAGGGGGAAACAGGGTCACAGGGGACTGTAAATTATGTATGCCAGAGTCGGCTTCATACAGGGCAGCACCAGCATGTCAATAAATCCTTTGAAGTTTTTTTTGAAGTTTGGCTTGAGGGTCATGATTTAATTACGGCGATTGCTGGAATCCTGACACAGTCATTCTTCCACCCTTGTGAATATTATTTCATTTCTCCACGCAGCTAATCACCAAAGGAAGGAATAGCCAGGCCATTGAAAAACTCCAGACCGAACACACCCACAGCCAGCAACAGATCAGGGACCTGGAGACAAAGTTGGAAGTAAGTATTTGTCTGTGACTGGAATTGACTGCCCGAGTTGCGTGAAATGGGAAATTGGAAGATGCAGGTAGACTTTTTCGTTTAGTTCCTGTGTTAGATTAAATTTTCCGTTTCCTAAAGAGAGCCTGGGCTATCCTTTACGATGCCCAAATCCTTCCCAAATGTGCTTTTTTTCAGGAAGCAACTGGACTTTTCTTGTCTTTTGCATACTTTTTAGAGGGTTGTTGAGGCCACTTGGAGGTTTATCTGTGTCCTCAGGGTCACCTGAGTGGTGCAAAGAAGGCTCCACAGCCATTTGCACCACTCAGGGGACCCTGATAAAACAGATAAACTTCCAAGTGGCTTCAACGACTCTCTAAAAGGATGCAAACAACCAGCTGCCTGCAAGGAATATAAACCCTTCCATTCCCCATCATCCTGTTAGAGCTGAAGAAGCTTCTTGGATGAGAAGTGAAATGTCTTTTAAAAAGAACCAGAAAATCCAGTTGCCTCAATTTGGACATTTGTTCAATTTGAATATAGATGGCCTCTTTGACCCCTCTTTCAAACCAGCTATTCTTTCTGTCCAGAATGTGGTACAGATACACCTGCAAGTGGCCTCAACTTCTCTCAGAAAGATTAACAGATTAACAGTTAATCAGAATTGGAAGGGACCTTGTAGGTTATCTAGTCCAACCCCCTGCCCAAGCAGGAGACCCTACACCATTTCTGACAAATGGCAGTCCAATCTCTTCTTGAAAGTCTCAAGTGATGGTGCTCCCACCAACAACAACCAGACGACTGCCAGGAATATAAATCCTTTCCTCCTCCACCAGTCAGTCAGAATTGAAGAAGCTTCTTGGATGAGAAGCAAAACATCTTCAAAAGAAAAAACCAGAAAGTCCAGTTGCCTCCTGAAAAAAGCAGCTTTAGGACAACCAGGACTTGGAGGACGGAGAAATCTCTACAGGCCCAAATCCTTCATTTCTCTTCATGATTATAGGGGTGGTGATGTTTCGTACAGTTTCTATGTGGCAGTAAAAAAAATGAAGTAAATATTCTTCTAGCAGATCAGAATTGATAAACTAAAGAAATCCCAACGTAGCTTTTATTTATAGCTGAGTAAGGATGCTTTACTTGGTAACGTTTCATGACATAAATCAAAAACTGATCATCGTTTCCAAAGCTGAGGTAAGAGGAAAGTGATTGCTCTTCCCAGGAAACCATAATTGCTATAAATGGAGATCAACCGAGGTTTGCGCCTCATTTATTAGCGGGTTGCTGTATTTTTAATCCTATTTTTCACGGAGCCCTTCAGATCTGATTTTAAAAAAAAACAGAAAACCAAACTCTGCTTTAAATGCATGGCCCTCAGCCAAAAGGGAGTAAAGAGAAAAGGGGATACTAACACTGAAGATATTTATGTTCTGAGGGCAACTCACTGCAAGAAATAAAACAATAAAAATAGAAATGCAGGATTGCAAATATAGGAAGAACGGAGAGAGCAAAAATAGCTTAAAACTTGAAATGATGACAAGGGAAAGTTTTAAAATTATCAGGCGGATCTCTCAGAGGAAAGGGGTTCAAATTATTCCTTGGTTGTCCTTCTGGGCATCACCTGCTTTGATTCCCCATGTGGACTTCTAAGGACAGGTTGGCTGGTAAATGTGACATCGCATAGGTTGTCAGACTCATCACACAAATGACCACAACTATATTCCTCTCCACATTCCGTTTACAAGGGCTGTTTACTAATTGGAATACGACTTAAATCCAATCTCTGTCTAATACAAACGGCTGCAAAACTCCACACAACCACTAGGTGGGAGCAAACAGTATCTCTTTGGTATGTTTTGCTGCCACCTAGTGGTCATTTGGATTATTGCATCCCAGTAGACCTGAAGTTAAGGTACTTGAACAACACTATCACATTGAAGTTGAATAAGTACCCACCTGGATGAACACAAAAATGCAGTAAAAACGCTGGAACACACTTCCTCACTAGTCCAACACATGAAAGCCACAGGTCATAGCATCAACTTCAATGGCACCAAAACCCTAGCCACTATAGAAAACCGCAGCCACAGAATTATCAGAGAAGCCATGGAGATTGAAAAAAGACCTGAAAGCATGAATAGAAGAGATGATTCCACCAGACTGTCAATTATTTGGAAGCCTGCACTCACAAACAAAAAAATCTCCACATCAAAAGCCAGGCAAACATCTGGGCACAAACAGATCCCCCCTGATACCTCCAGCTCAAACACACCCCAACCAGGCACCCAGATGAAACCTAGCTTCCTAATAAATAATAGCCGTCCATTTACTCAGAGCCAAGCTGCACTAAAAGCCTCCAATACAGGAACACAATGTTGCCAGCCAATCAAGACAAAAAAAAAAGGCACAAAACAGACAGAAGATATTAGAAACACCAATCAAGCAGAACACAGCAAACTCCAAGACCAATAAACACAGACCAAGACTCCCAACCAATCAGGATGAAGAAAAAACCATTCTGGCACAGCAGTAGGCTAGCACCAAATTTAAAACTGAAACGGCTGTGAAAGTCTGACTCACAGACAAACACTACCCAAGTGTTTGAACTTACTAAATCCTACTCCGAGAAGCACAAAGCTGAAGACACAAGCCTGAAGATGATGAATGAGACTTCATCGAAACGTCACCTAGATACTTCCAATTTTACGCGGGAGAAAACCCGAATAGCCAAATGGGGCAGAGCCATTTTTGTTTACACATGTGCCATCTGGCAAGCCTGAATGTTTGTATTTATGTATATCTTTATTTATAGCTCTGCACAAACAAGATTAAAGATATAACAGAGTTGGAAGGGACCTTGGAGGTCTTCTAGCCCAACCCCCTGCTTCCTGCTAGCAGGAAATCCTATACCATTTCATAATTGTCCTTTCCTAAGCTTTTATCAACATTATTTTTCATTGGGATGATTGCATTGATTTTGTAATGGGTGCCTTCCTCCTGTTTTCTATCCCAAAACTCCCTTCTCTCTCTCTCTCTCCCTCCCTCTCTCCCTCCCTCTCTCTCTCTCTCAGCAGAACCTGGCTGTATTTCATTTGGCCTAATTGCTAGTGTTGGCGTTTTCACCGGTTTTCCCAAAATTTCAATGCATTATGATGGCCAACTCTGGCTGTGCCATTTTTAAGCATCTCTTATAGAGAGGCTGAAAAGGAAGGGTTGACAAGAATAAATGGTAGGGCTTATTCAAAGCAAAATTTTATTGTTCAAAAAGTGGGACTGGGCAATTTAGAATATTCTGATAAACAGGTTTAATGAAAGCAAGGAAGGCAAATGTAGTCATTAGCAGGAAACAGTCAAATCTTGCTCTGTTGGAGGCCATGTTCTGATATATTTGAATGGCTACCTTTTCTTCCCACTATGTAAGAAATGTAATTACGGGTGCAAACATTTCACATGGACACTTAATTATATTGACTGGTGAATTCCATCAGTCAGGGGAATTATGCAGATCTGATGGAAATGTGACTGGGTCTCCTTGGTAGCTTGAAGCTGGTGGGAGGTGACTCTGAATATAAATCGAATGGTCACTATGGAGGAACTCCAAGCGTGGAAACAATCTAGGTCAAAGGATGTCTTGGCCAACTGAAGAATTTGGTTCTGCGATGAAACATTCATCATTCAGAATATTCATGAAGGGAATGTAGACGTCCTTGCTTCCATGTAGGGTATCACAGAACATAGAATAATAGAGTTGGAAGGGATCTCAGAGGTCTTCCTCTGCTTGAGCAGAAACCGAATACAATTTCAGATAATGGCTGTTCATGCTCTTTTTGAAAGCGTCCAGTGATGGAGCACCCACTACTTCTGAAGGCAAGTTGTTCCATTGGTTGCTTGTTCTCACCATTACGAAATTTCTCCTTAATTCCAGGTTGCTTCTCTCCTTGGTGAGTTTCTATCCATTGTTTCTCGTCTTGCCTTTTGGTGCTTTGAAAAATAGTTTGACCTCCTCATCCTTGTAGGAGCCCTTCAAATATTAGAAGACTGCTACCATGTCACCCCTAGTCCTTCTTTTCATTAGATGTACCCAATTCTTGCACCCGTTCTTCATATGTTGTAGCCTCCAGCCCCTTAATCATTCTTGTTGCTCTTCTCTGCACTCTTTCCAAAGACTGATCATCTATTATACATTATGGTGACCACAACTGGATGCAGTATTCCAAGCATGTTCTTACTAAGGCTTTGTAAATTGGTACTAGAACTTCATGTGATCTTGATTCTATCCCTCTATTAATGCAACCTAGAATAATATAATAAATATATTACTATATTTCATATCTGTAGGGTATGATTGAAAAGAATCAAGATGGTGACCACAAACTATGGTTAAAACTGCATATTTTTCTGTGCATTGTGCGGGGAACGTGCCATACATAAAAAGGGAGCTGAACATAGATTGCACCATTGCAGCTGCCAGCTTGATTCTTCCAACTGTAGTCACCTCTGGTGTTTTCTCTCACCCTTTCTTCCAAATCCATTCTTACCATTCTACCCCCTCCATGTGGGATGGACAACTGTTTTTCCCCCATTGTGCATTCCTTCATTCTTCATCGATGGACACATTAATCGGGTAGAGAAAATAAGATCTCTAACCATTTAGGTTGTCCTGAAATTGTTGCCATCCTGTACGTGGAGCAAATCAGAATGTTGTGTACCCCAAAACATGATGCATGTTGCAAAGGCACGTTATGTAAATACATTCGATATGTGAGTTGGAATTGGATTTTTTGCTTTATTTTTAGATCAGTCTGCTGGTTGGTGCTGATTATTGGCCTCTTTGCAAAGAGATATTGATAGAAGTAAGCAAATAATTACAATGAGTGACATTGATTATATGAGGTGAACCTCTTCAGGTTCATAAAGAGTTCATTTATACATAGATTATAAAGTGAGGAAATGAAACTAAGTGGTGGAAAGTATTTATAGCTTGGGTGGTCGATGTTGGTGGTGGGTTTGTTCTCCAAGCTTGT